AATGGAGTTGCTGAACGGCTTAACCGGACATTGGCTGAATTACTGACTGCTATGCTACTTGAATCGGGTTTACCAAAGACATTTTGGGCTGAATGCCTGGCTGCGCTTGTTTATGTGTTAAATCGATGCCCAACGTCTGCTGTTCCAGAAGTCACTCCTTTTGAAGCCTGGTATAAAATTAAGCCTAAAGTTGACAATCTGTGTGTCTGGGGATGCATTGCTTATGTGCATATTCAAAAGGACAAGAGGCCTCACTTTGGTTCACATATGGAGAAGTGTGTGTTTATTGGTTACCCTGAGGGAGTTAAAGGCTGGAAGTTCTGGAATCCTGTCACTAAAAAGGTCATCATCAGTGAACGTGCAGAATTTGACAAAAGGTTCATGTATGGATCCAAGTCACCTAATCAGCCTGCCCTTCGTCAAGACCATACTCCTGTGACTAGTTCTGAACCATCTGCTACTCCCAAACCACCAGCCAGTACCACTAATGAATGTAAGTAACTAAAGGAATGCATACTACAAAAACAGAGTTGAAAAAGAAAAGACAAAACAAACAAACATTGGTTTGTACAGTTACATCAAGATAGAAAGAGGGAGAGGAGGGAGGGTGATGAAAAATCGACTTGATCAAGCAAGATCTAAGTCAGATATCAGTCAGTATACAGTACACAGGCAAAAAAACATCGATCTAAGCACACTGAGAGCCCTGATATCCAAGATCTGACAACTAGGTCAACTTCAGAGGCTGTAGATGTGTATAGATCTGTTATGGATGTGTTGTGGGCTCTGTTCAGTGAAAGATCAGTTAGATCAGTGAAAAAGCGCACCAATTCCTTTGATCTGAGACTCTGTGAGCAAAAGCTAGAGTCTGTGCAGTCAAAAGGAGGTGCTGTGAGGCGATGTTTGAGCTATCAGAGCTGTATAGAGTGGACAGATGTCCTTACCAGTCACCAGAAGCGAAGTTGATGGTGGGGAAAGGAAGGAAAGAAGCACAGGACCTTGTCAGATTTCTAATCATGTTCTCACAGGCCTCTGCTCGGAACTCCGGCACCTGTAAGAACTAGAAACTCGACAGGGACACTGACTGATCATCTGTCCAAAGTGGCAGCTGACCAGAGGTGGTCATGTGCTGAAAAACTCGAAATGCAAAGTCCAAGTTAGAGTGCTAGATTTCGAAAATGGAATCGCGGAAGAACGAAGATAGGTAGTGCTTCAATTCTTTTCGCGATTTGTTAAGGACATGATAGAGTACCTATGACAGTAATAGCAGGACCGCACGGTACTGCGATGAGGCGCGCCGGACTTGCAATGTATTCATGTTCACTGAAAAGTGATGAATTGTGCATTGCAAGTCCTGGATGGTATCTGTTGTTTGCAGAGGCCTTCAGAAAGTCTCCCTACCCTTGGAATCCGCCTTCATGTCGAGTATTTGTTTGGTTCTATTTGTACTGAAACGCATGAGGCGTGAAAATAGGTGTCCACAATTGTGCGCGCATAGATATTTTCAACAGTCACCACTCAAACTGAGAAAATATCTTGCAAACTGAACAAATGAAAGCCAAAAAGTAAACTAGGGCAGATATCAACATGGTAACAAAAGATTACTATAAAAGTACATAGTTTAGAGACGGAATATGAGTGTGGGACATCGCTTATGTAAGCAGTAAGTGTTCTATCACTATATACACTCAACACAACCCCCTGATTGAACACTTTTGCAATCCAGCACAAGTCAATCACTAACACAACCCCCCAACATAGTATTTCCTTCAACTAGGAAGGTTTGGCTTTTCCACCTTTGGTTTGGCAAGGGCCTTTGTGAGCAGCTCGGCTGGATTATCCTCAGTGGGCAAATAAGAGAGTGTAAGCTTCCCACGTACAACTTGTTCTCTGAGCCAGTAGAAAGTCCTGTCAAGATGCTTCATTCGGCCGTGATGTTCAGGATTTTTAGCAACCTGAATGGATGATTGGTTGTCGGTGAGGATAATGGTAGGAGAAGCGACTTTATACCCAAGCTCATTGAGAAGAAAACGTATTGCCAACACTTCTTTGCCCACTGCATTTGAAGCCACAAACTCAGCTTCAGTAGAGGATAGAGTAACCACAGGTTGTAGTTTACTACTCCAGCTAACAGCACCTGATCCAACCTTTATGATGTATCCAGTTGTTGACTTCCCATTGTCTTTGTTGCCACCCAAGTCTGCATCACCAATAGCTGTGATCAGATCGGGGGCATCAGGATCTGGCCCTAGTTCCAACTCATAGTCAAGAGATCCTTTCAAGTAATGCCACAAATGCTTAACAGCAATCCAATGAGCATATCCAGGATTAGAGTTGAAACGAGTCAAGACACCACATGCATAAGCTGTGTCGACACGAAGGATCATGGCCAGAAACAATAGGGAGCCAACAGCTGACATGTAGGGGACATTGATCATCTCTTCTTTCTCCTCTGGTGTTTGGGGCAGTCCGCTTTAGAGAGTGTCACAGTGGGATTCATGGGAGTGCCCACAGGCTTGGAATCAGTCATGCCAAATTCATTGAGTTTACAGAGGATGTATTGCCGGGCATTAAGATATAGTTTTTGATTCTGGCGGTCTCCTCTGATTCCCGTGCCAAGTAAGAAGTTGGTACTGCCCAAGTCACGGAGTTTAAGTTCTTTTCGTAGATCATGGACAAATTGATCTATAACACCAGAGTCTTTACAAGCAAGAGTGATATTTAGCCTGCAAACTTTCTCTGGTCCACCTTGCTTGAAACCCTCGGGCTGTCTCATGTAGATAGTTGTGTCAATATCAGAATTAATAAACGCATGTGAGATATCAACAGAGCGAAGCTCCATATCATCAATAGCAGCAAGAGCAAGTACAATGCGTAATGAGGACCAGCGGAGAGTTGAAGCATAGGTTTCAAGATAGTTGAATCCAGGTCTTTGGCTGAAGCCTTGAGCACACAAGCGTGCTTTGAAGCGTTCAATAGAGCCATCAGCCTTGTGCTTAATATGGTATACCCAAGTTGACCCAATTGCTTTCTCTCCTGGTGGCAAGTCAACAATATCCCAAGTCTGGTTTGCTAAATGAGCAGCAATCTCATCATCCATTGCTTCTTCCCACTTAAAGGCTTCTGGACTGCGCATAGCGTCTCGATAATTTCGAGGTTCTACACCGTTAGCAGCATGTCCATGTTCCTCTACATCTCCATTGTATTCATCAGAGTCAGCAGGCTCATTATGGGCATTGCCCTTAGAAGCAGGTTTGACTTCCCACCATCTACCAGGAGGTTTATGGCTGTTAGAGAAATCAGGTGACCAGGATCAAGGAGTACCTTGTCCCAAATCAAGTGACCTTGAAACAGGAGGGAAATAAATGTTGACACTAGCTGGGATTGAACCAGCGACCACACAGTACTCTAGACTGGTGCTCTAACCAACTGAGCTATAGTGCCGATGGTTAGAGTATGGATGTTAAGCTACTCAACTGGCCCACATTCATGTTGTACTGAAGCGGTTAGTCTTAGTACTAGAATGATGTAACCAGGGTCCAATTGCTAATGCCAACACGTGCAGGGCGACGTACAGCAATGGGTTGCTCATCAGATTCATCCTCGTCAGTCACAGGTAATTTGGGCTCTGGGGTGGGAGCAAGAGCAGGAGGTGCATTAAGGGGAGGCACATCATCTTCATCAGCAGAGGCGGGTTCAGAGTCTGATTCATCACAAAAAGCAGGAGGTGTGAATAGATCATTACAGGTACTAGATGGATTGGGAGTAGCAGATGGTTCCGGAGGAGTCACAGGAATGTAGTCTCAATGAAGGGTAGGCTGATTAGGTGACTTTGATCCATACATGAATCTTTCATCAAATTCTGCACGTTCGCTGATAATGACCTTTTTAGTGACCAGATTCCAGAACTTCCAGCCTTTAACTCCCTCAGGATACCCAATGAATACACACTTTTCCATGTGTGAACCAAAATGTGGCTGCTTGTCCTTTTGAACATGAACATATGCAATGCATCCCCAGACACGCAAGTTGTCAACCTTTGGCTTGACTTTATACCAGACTTCAAAAGGAGTGACACCTGGGACAGCAGACGTTGGGCATCGATTAAGCACATAAACAAGCGCAGCCAGGCATTCAGCCCAAAATGTCTTTGGTAAACCCGATTCCAGTAGCATAGCAGTCAGTAATTCAGCCAATGTCTGGTTAAGCCGTTCAGCAACTCCATTCTGCTGGGGTCAATTCCGGGCTGTTCTCTGCACCTCAATCCCCTCGTCTTTCAAGAACTGTTCCATTGCTTTGGATATAAACTTGCCACCTTTGTCATGACGGATCACCTTGATCTTTTTACCAGTAGAGTTTTCTGCCCAGGCCTTAAGTTAACTGCTTGAATGCACCAAATGCTTCACTCTTCTTTTTGAGTAGTGCAACTGCTCTGAAGCGTGATTTGTCGCATATAAAGGGGATCCAATAGCGGTAGCCAGAAGGCGAAACAACACCAGTATCATGTACATCCATATGAACAAGTTCTAGAACTTCACCAGCACGAGTATCACTGCTAGGAAACGGATTGGCATGCATCTTTCCACCAAGACATGGTTTACATACTGGGTCTGGCTTTGCACTAGAATCGAGTTTAAAGCCCTCAACCATACCATTTCTAGACAGCTTGCTAACATCACTCAGATTGTAGTGAAAGAAGCGTCGATGCCACAGCTCAAGGTCAAGAGGTAGAGTTGAACCGATGTTTGCAAACTCAGCTACTGTACTAATAGTGTGTCCATTAAGGTAACCAACCCATTTATTATTAACTGATGCAGTGAACAGGACAGAACCATCAAGTGAGAACTCCATAGTATCTCTAAGAATTTGTACAGTAAAACCTTTATGCTTGGTCAAGTAAAGAACTGAGAGGAGATTGTTATTAAGAGCCGGTACATGTAAAACTTGTCTAACTTCTTCTTTGCCATCAACAATATGTTAAAGGTATGATTTATACAAAGTGTCCAGACTGGGGATTGAACCCAGGACCTTCTGGGAAATCCCAAGGTGCTCTTAACCAACTGAGCTATCTGGCCATGGTTACAACTACTTGGTATCTCATCAATGTAGTGACAGAGGTGCCCTAGTGTCCTCAACCATTATAAGGCATTACATGGATATCTTTTGATCCAACCCCCTAGGTTGATTATATAGACAAGGGCATTTACACATAACACATACATCTCACCATTGTAGGGTGTCAGGATTGATTATTAATCCCAACACACTCCCGCAATCTGACACACTTATGTAACCTATTCTCCCACACCATAGTGCTTCGGGGCCCATAACCTGTTGGAGGAAACTGCACTTGTTGAAGTTAAACACACTGGAGCGCCCTTCAGCTAACCCAAGCAGTGTGATACCCGTCTTAGTACAGTGTTGTTATGCTCAGTATAACGACTATAGTGTTGTACTAATAGCCTTATAGTTCCTCAGTACTCCAATAGACAGCAAACAATGAAATGAATCAAAGATATGTGAATATTGATTTGGACTCTTTCTAACTATGTAAGGAATAGGTATTTGTTTGGTTCTATTTGTACTGAAACGGATGAGGCGTGAAAATAGGTGTCCACAATTGTGCGCGCATAGATATTTTCAACAGTCACCACTCAAACTGAAGAAATTGTTGGATGACATAATCTGACACACATATGACTTGTCAAGTGTGTATCCAAATGATCTCCATTATAAAGGCATGATGTGAGACCTTACTTGGGGCATTCCTAGTAGATGTGAGACCTTTCCAGTTGGGCATTCTGTAAGAACCTTTGGAGAGGCTCTGGCACTTAAGAGATACAAGTTCATAGTTGATAACCATGGCCAGATAGCTCAGTTGGTTAGAGCATCTTGGGATTTCACCAGAAGGTCCTGGGTTCAATCCCCAGTCTGGACACTTTGTATAAATCATGACTTTAACAGAAATAACTCTAAAACTAAGTAAACTAGGCAAAATAGTGAAATAGAAGGAATATGAAGAATGTAATCAAACTTTACTATAAAAGTATGTATAATACTTTAGAGATAGAATATGGTCGTGGGAAGGTGATTATGTAAGCAGATGTGTGACAACACTATGTACACTCAACAATATCTGCCATCTACAGTGACCACCTGACAGAGTTGCCAAAGTGGGTGGCCAGGCAGATTGAGGAATGCCTTAGCAACATCACTCTTAAACAGGATCAGTTCTTCAGTTGGATGCTCCTTCAGCACATCATTGAGAACCTGACCAAAAGTGTGCATATCATCATACTTGACCTTCCCCTCAGCTTTTGGAATGTTGTCATTCAGACCAGAGCTAGTCTGGTCCATAACAACTCGAGGTTTTCCCTTCTGCCAGACTACAAACATTGGGAGACCTTCATACCAGGTAAGAGAACAAAGTCCTCTGGTAGTGCTTCAGACCATCTCCCAGCTGTAACTTCCTGATCTCTGTGAGCTCTGAGTGCAGTAAAATCATCTGGCTCAGTGACATAGTTCTCAATCCTTTGTTTAGACTCTTCTGCCCATTCAGCATCATAGAAAGGCCAGAATCCCTCTCTAAGGGAGCGCATAACAGAGGCTACAAATGGCTGATTGGGATGGGATGAGAGCAAGAGCTCTAAGCGGTCCACATTGAAAGGAGTCTCTACTTTAATGTAAGGAGCCATAGCTTTAAGAGTTGATTGGATCTGAGGATTGTTCAAGAGATGTAGAGGAGGTGATGGCAAAGGAGGTGCAGAATAAGTAGAAGAGATACTGGGAGGAGTGATATGAGATGAATGAGATGAAGAAGACCATAAATAACCCCTTCTGAAGCGAGGTGCAGGTGTTAGATCACTGTCAGCAGTCCTCTTAGTACCTGCTAGTGATCTAGGACCTTTGAGGGCGGTTTCTACTCTGATTTCGACGTCTTTCAGTAAGCTTTGAGTAGCATGACTGGCTGTTAATGGCTCTGTGGGCTTCACCACACTCATTGCAATAGCCATGTTTCCTGTTATTGCTACAAGGATCTGAGCACCTATCTTCATTCCACAAGATACAAGGTGTATCATGGCGCTTAGAAGGCGATTTGGAAGTGGTAGAAGATGAAGAAGGAGCAGATCTCTTCTTGGAAGTGGTAGAAAGCATCTCCTTGAGGACAATGAGCCTAAGGCTCTCAGAGTTGCCAAGATCAAAGGGTGTATTGGAAGCCTTTTGGCGAGCCTCTCTATCCACCCTGATGGCCATAGATGGATCATTGGGAGTAACTCTGAACAGCTCTTGAATCTGAGCTTTATAGGCAATAAGCTCACTCTGCCTGTTAGGATAGATCTTGAGCAGAGGAACAAGCCAAGCCTCAAAAACTCGAAGCCACTGTGACTCAGTAGTGACTGGGAGGCTCTTAATAGACTGCTCTTTCCTAACCAGCTTAAACTCTGTGCCAAAGTCTTTGCTATCATCATAGAGGAAACTGAATCCAGTGACTGCAGCATGGATCTTCTCAAAGTCCACATACTTGTCCTTGATGATAAGGCGAAGTAGGGACTGAGGGAGTGGCTCAGCAAACATCTGAGCTGAAAGGAGACTAAGTGTAGCATCCACATTGCTGTCCAGAGTGAACTGGAGGCGAAGATCCCAGGTGCTCTGTACATGAGAGGGCATAGGAGATGTAGTAGTAAGTGCTGCAAGGTGAGGAGCAGCTTCCAGAAGCGAAACTGGAAGGCCAGAAGGCACCTTGGAAGTAGAAGAAGCAATAGGCTGGGCAAAGGATGGAGCCACAGCTTGAACAGTACCAGAGTCTGGTTGTTCATTCTCAATCTCATCATCTGCATTGACAGCAGCAAGCAGGGCTTCATTCTCAGCAAGTTCAGACTCCATAACAGCAAATGCTGCTGCCTGAGCAGCTTGTATAGCAGAAACTCGCTCTGGAGAGGCCTGTTGCCTCTGTTTACCTTTAGCAGCAGCCTTTCTTTGCCTAGTAAACTCGATTTCATCCCTCTGTATCTGCTGCATCTGGTCCACATAGTCACTGACCACAGCAGGATCATGTCTGCTATGATCTTGGAATGCTCTGAATGCCTGTTTGACAGAGATTTCCCTATTCCTGAACTGTTCAAGGACAGCTTGCATCGCTTCAGCAGCAGATCTAACAGCTTCAGCTTCTCTAGCTGCATCTGAGGGTGCAGGAGAGGCAGTGATGCGCCCCAGAAGCGATTTAGAGGGCATAGAGTGGTGGTGGGAGCGAGGATTGGATGTAGAAGCGGCAGGAGGGTCTGTGAGACGATCTTGGAACGATTTAGAGGGCTGTGAAGCGGCGATCTGAGCGATCTGAGTGCTAGCAGTGTTGGATGAGCTACCAGAGGTGACTTGGGAAGGTTGGAGCTGTTTAGAGCGAGTTTGGGGAAGATCAGAGCGGATCTGAGAGAGATTGGAGCGATTCTGGACTGGATTAGAGCGAGATGTGGATGGATTAGGCCCAGATTGGCGCGATCTAGCGCTAGGAAGCGTCCTAGACGAGGTATGAAGCGATCTAGTGGCCTGGGATGCAGGATCATAGGTATGATCTTCCAATTCATCAAGATCTGAGGAATCAGCTCGAGTTTTGGACATGGAATGGTTGATATGAAGATGTGTGAGGTAGGAGCAAGGAGTATGATGAAAAATCGACTTGATCAAGCAAGATCTAAGTCAGATATCAGTCAGTATACAGTACACAGGCAAAAAAACATCGATCTAAGCGCACTGAGAGCCCTGGTATCCAAGATCTGACAACTAGGTCGACTTCAGAGGCTGTAGATGTGTATAGATCTGTTATGGATGTGTTGTGGGCTCTGTTCAGTGAAAGATCAGTTAGATCAGTGAAAAAGCGCACCAATTCCTTTGATCTGAGACTCTGTGAGCAAAAGCTAGAGTCTGTGCAGTCAAAAGGAGGTGCTGTGAGGCGATGTTTGAGCTATCAGAGCTGTATAGAGTGGACAGATGTCCTTACCAGTCACCAGAAGCGAAGTTGATGGTGGGGGAAGGAAGGAAAGAAGCACAGGACCTTGTCAGATTTCTAATCATGTTCTCACAGGCCTCTGCTCGGAACTCCGGCACCTGTAAGAACTAGAAACTCGACAGGGACACTGGCTGATCATCTGTCCAAAGTGGCAGCTGACCAGAGGTGGTCATGTGCTGAAAAACTCGAAATGCAAAGTCCAAGTTAGAGTGCTGGATTTCAAAAATGGAATCGCGGAAGAACGAAGATAGGTAGCGCTTCAATTCTTTTCGCGATTTGTTAAGGACATGATAGAGTACCTATGACAGTAATAGCAGGACCGCAAGGTACTGCGATGAGGCGCGCCGGACTTGCAATGAATTCATGTGCACTGAAAAGTGATGAATTGTGCATTGCAAGTCCTGGATGGTATCTGTTGTTTGCAGAGGCCTTCAGAAAGTCTCCCTACCCTTGGAATCCGCCTTCATGTCGAAAATGATTTGCATCACCACTTTTTGAGCTTTGGTTTGGCCTGGAGATCTTTGTCAGAAAGTAGAATAAATGTGAGGGAGCACATACCTTGATGAGATCTTTCCATATGTTGCTTGGGGCAGTTGCAATGTTTTGTTTGGCATCCCAGCCAAAACTAGACTTCCCTCGAATGAATTGGACATCTCTGAAGTCTTTCTTGAGCTAACAGACACAATCAGTAACCTCCAATCAAATGTTATCTATGTAGACTTACTGTAGTCCAGCATGTCCTACAAGAGTCACTGGTTTTCACAGCACCTTCTGAGGTAGAGCTTGCAGGCTTGGCAGCTGTGGCTTTGTGTGCATCACCATGAAAGCCACCATTGTCCATCTGGAAGCCACCAGCCTTCTGGTCTGTGAGTGTTTCAATGAGGATCTGGTCATCTTCTGCACTCCAGCTGGCCTTCTTTATTCCAGCCTTGTTGGATCCACTCCTGGGATCAGATGTAGGCTGAGACATTGTTGTGAGTATAAATAGATATTAGAGAGAGAAAAATGTGTCAAAAGCTATGGAAAGCCGGAAGGGCCTGTTGGAGGAAACTGCACTTGTTGAAGTTAAAC